GAGATTTTAGTAATACACAAATTATAGGGTAGGTTTTGGTAAATACTTGAAACTATTGGTCTGTCCAATTTAATGATCCTTCATTAGAGATGGCAACGGAGTGGGTTCAAGGAGGGTTTTGTATTCGGTCTTTTGGTTTGATTAATTTGGTTTTAAAAAATTTCGGTTTCAGTTTTGGTTTTCAGGATTGGAAATTCAGTTAACCAAAACTGAAACCATGTTTCAGTTAAACATGGGTTATAAGCAATAAATAAGTAAAATGATACAAACCAACAACAAAATTTCCAATTAATTGATAAAACATGCAAAAAACACATAAACTATCAATTATCCTTCGCATACAATTCAAAATATTATTAAATTCAACACTTAATACATAAAAGTTTATATACTTTCCAACAATACACGGGTCAAGAGAGTTGGGTTTAGCCTAATATCGTACCCTATCCATACCCGTACGGGTTGTAAAACCTCAAAACCCGTCCTTCAAGCAAAAAACCCCACCCTATCGAGGCGGTTACCTGCTAGGTAGGGTAGAAACTGTCAACTCCATCCTTCATTAATCATGAACAAGAGTAACAATTCAAGGAAATACTGTTGGGAACAACTTCATCTACCCACAAACTCTTCCCACATCCCTACCCACAAGCAACACACATTGGGAACATCTCCCTTATCATTCATGGGGAGAAGTTCCCAACACACAGTGGTAGTATCTTGTTGATAGGGATGTGGGAAGAGTTCATGGGTAGAGGTCCAGTGTGCATGAGTTGATAGATTCTAGAGGCAAACCTCAGCTTCTTTGAACCTATGCATCAAATGTAAATAGCACTTTGTTTAAAGCTAATGTATTATGAAATTGATTTGAGCTGATAAACCTACAGAAAATAGGCATATACCGAGTGAAAATAACACATTGTTTAAAATGGGAAATTTGGTTTTGATAAAATGGGCATGCACCCTTGAAGATACAAGGGAAGAGAGTGAGAGCGAACGAGCGAACGAGAGAGAGAGAGAGAGAGAGAGAGAGAGAGAGAGAGAGAGAGAGAGAGAGAGAGAATTAGTGTTTGCACCAAGACAATTGGTTTATTACTCTAATTTTCCTTCGTATCAAAGAAAAAAGTTTTATTTCTTAAGGCACTGTTGCTCAATGTTAAAAAAAAGGAAACTTAGGGAAGTTCAAATAGTTCGTTGTTTCAAGCCATAACATTATAAAATTGGTTTGAACTTCATAGACAAGCATTGAATAAGCTCAGTTTAAATGGAATGCGAAACTTTGTCAAGGAAAATGTGCCCTTCCTAATATGGAACTATTTTATTTTGATACAATGGATGCATTCCCATTGAAAATAAAAAATAAACCCTCTCGAGTGCCTTTGATAGTGGTCGCACCTTTGGATGAACTAAGTTGCATCTTGCTTCATGGTGGGCCAAAAATAGCCTTGTCGGAGTGCCGTGTATGCTAGGGTCCGTGCACCTGGGTAGTCTTCGCAGATACCCTCATGTACCTCCTAGAGGATGTAGTCGGCTTTGGCTGGGGGAGACACCTTAGGTAGGGGAGAGTATGTGATCGACGGTAGAATTGGCCTCGGATGAGACAGTACCAGGCCGACCTATGTGTAAATCTTTTGCTTCGGTTCGGTCCTCAGGAAGGGTGTCGTTCTAGAGGTACTGTATGATCGGGTCTATCCATGATGACTCTTGATGGATAGGGAGGACTGCTAGGGCTGCTTCCAAGATGTTAGGCTACGCTAATATGTCCATACTGACCGTGGTGTTAAGGTCTATATGCGGTGAGTTGACAAGCTTTGATAGGGTGTCGGTTTGGGTGTTATCTGCTATGGGGATTTGTTGTATAGCGAAGTGCTCGAGCTGTTCAGCAAGCTCCTGCACTTTCTACAAATAAATTGCCATGGTGGGCCCTTGTGCATCGAACTAACCAATGACCAACTTCACCACTAGTAGGGAGTCGTTGAAGGCCTCCACGTGTCTTGCTCCAACATCTAGTGCAAGCTGAAGCCCAGCAATCAAGGCCTCATATTCCGCTTCATTGTTCGACGCCTTAAACTCGAACGTCAAGGCGTTCTTGAGGATGGTATCACCTAGTCCAAGGAGGATGAAGCCGAATCCGCTTCCTTGCCAATTGGACGATCTGTCCACATGGAGGGTCTAAACTAGCTGGACTTCGGCTGGGTTTAGAGCTGAGAATGTGCACTCGGCCAGGGCCTAGGCTTTGATGGTGGGCTTAGGTGCATAGTCAATGTCAAACTCGCTTAGCTTCATGGTCCACTTGATCAGACGTCCTGATGTCTCCGGCCTATGCAACACCTATTTAAGTGGTTGGTCAATGAGCACTTGGACGCTATGTGTCTGGAAGTTCGACTTGAGCTTCCTTGCCGAAGTGACGAGGGCCAGCGTGACCTTTTTGAGATTCAAATACCACATCTCGGTGCTCATAAGAGCCTTGTTGGTGTAGTAGATCGGCCTTTGGGTCTATCCTTCCTTCTTTACTAAGACCGAACTAATCTCTTCGTTGCTGGTGGACAAGTAGAGCAGGAGCTGGTCTCCTGGGTTTGACTTCGTAAGTAGAGGCAGCAAGCTCAAGTAGCGCTTCAACTCTTAAAATGATCACTTGCACTCCTCAGTCTACTAGAAGTCTTTTGCCTCTTTTAGGGCCTTAAAGAAGGGAAAGTAACAGTTCGCAGACTTCGACATGAATCTGCTCAGTGTGGCTATCCGTCCAGTGAGGGGCTGTACTTCTTTGTACATCAGCAGGGACTGCATGTCCAGGATGGCCTGAATCTTTTCTAGGTTTGCTTCAATTCCCCTCTACGTAACCATTAAACCCATGAACTTGCTGGAGCTGACGCAGAAGGCACACTTTGTAGCAGTACAATCATCGGTCCATGATGAAGGCAGTCTTCTCCTAGTCGTGTGGATGCATCTAGATATGATTATAGCCAGAGAAGGCATCCATGAAGCTCAAGAGCTCATGCCCCACCGTTGTGTCAACAAGCTCGTCGATCCTCGTAAGGGGAAGCTGTCTTTTAGGCAGATCCTACTTAGGTCGATGAAGTTAGTGCAAATTCTCTACTTTTCATTGATTTTTTTTTTACCACCACCACGCTCACCAGCTAATTCGGGTATGTCACCTCTTGGATGAAGCCAACATCGAGTAGTTTCTGCACTTCTTTGTTGATCACTTGCCACTATTTAGAGGCAAAGCTCCTCTTCTTCTACTTCACGGGTTGGTATTTAGCCGGTGGGTGATGACCTTGGGGTCGATCCCTAACATGTCTACTACTGACCAGGCAAACACGTTAGCATTGTCTCTGAGGAGTCGCACGATGTTTTGTCGGAGGCTACCTTGTAGGAGACATCCTATCTGAATGGTTTTCTCCGAGTTGTTGTCAAAATGGGACACTTGGACGAGGTCCTCCACAGGCTGGTATGCGTTGTGTCCACAGCTTGTCCCTTGTGTCCATGCTTTCTGTGGTGAGTGTCTCAATGGTGTGAGGCTTCCCTCTACAAGCCATCAAGTGATACTGCCTTACGGCTCTCTGGTTTCTTCGGGTGATGCCTATCCCGTAAGGTGTTGGGAACTTCACGGCTAAGTGGTACATGGAGATTGAGGCTTGCAGCACGTTCAACATTAGTCGACCAATGATGGCATTGTTTGGTGACTGGACGCGAACGACGATGAAATCCACCATTGTTGTGATAGTGATGAGACCATCCCCTATCAGCAATGAAAGAGTGATCTTCCCCTAAGGTATCAGTGAATCTCTCTTCACGGCTAAGTGGTACATGGAGATTGAGGCTTGTAGCATGTTCAACATTAGTCGACCAATGATGGCATTGTTTGGTGACTGGATGTGAACGACGATGAATCCACCATTGTTGTGATAGTGATGAGACCATCCCCTATCAGCAATGAAAGAGTGATCTTCCCCTAAGGTATCAGTGAATCTCTCTTCATGGCTAAGTGGTACATGGAGATTGAGGCTTGCAGCACGTTCAACATTAGTCGACCAATGATGGCTTTATTTGGCGACTGGACGCGAATGACGATGAAATCCACCATTGTTGTGATAGTGATGAGACCATCCCCTACTAGCAATGAAAGTGATCTTCCCCTAAGGTATCAATGAATCTCTGGAGAACCCTACCAGATAGGTGTTGACTAACGTGAGACATTCTCTATTGATGCCAAGCTGTTCAAAGGCCTCTTCAAAGAGTATGTTGGGTGAACTTCCTGTGTCCAAAATATCCTCTATACCTCAAAGTTGGTGATCTTGGCGGTTATGATGAGCGTCTTCATGTGGTGTTTGCACCCCCTGAGGTTGTCGCCAGTGAATGTGATGGCAGTGTCTTGCCTCGGTGTCAGCACCTGATTTTTGCTCAGTCTGCCACCTCTACCCTCAATTCACCCTAAACACCCGATCATACTCATTCGACCTCTTCGAAACACCCAAAAACCCAAAAATCCTAAATTTCACCCCGAAAGCCCTTAGATCCACCATTAAACCTGCATAATACTTATCCAATGGCCCTAACCGACCCTTACTTACACCTCAACCATTAGTTCAAACACAACCATCAGACCCAGAACCTCACTGATTTCAACAAGAAGAAAGATCTCGATCAAGAGATGAGAGGAGGAGAGAAGAAGAAGAAGGAAGAAGAAAGAAGAAGAAAGAAGAAGAAGAAGAAGAGAGGAGAGAAGGAAGAGGCGAAATATTTAGACCAAAAAACATCACTAGAGGTGCCCAAGATTTGTATTTATAAGTTAGGGCGACTACATAAAAAATAAAAGGTTAAAAAGACAAAAATGCCCCTACGATACATAACTGAGATTACATCACTCCCCCTCAAGTTGGGGCGTAGATATCAATCATCCCCAACTTGTTACAAAGATTATAGTGCCACATGGAATTTAATCCTTTAGTAAGGATGTTTGCCAGTTGTTCCTCAGAGCTGATGTAGGGAGTGCAAACTTCTCATTCTTCCAATTTTTCCCTAATGAAGTATTTGTCAACCTCTATATGTTTAGTTCTATCATGGAGAACAAGGTTGGTTGAAATGTTAATAGCAGCCTTATTGTCACAGTATAATGACATATGATCACTGAGAGGAAAGCCCAATTCACCCAAGAGATTCTTTATCCATAGAAGTTCTGCCACACCATGAGACATGGCTCTATATTCAGCTTCTGCACTTGATCTGGCCACCACACTTTGTTTCTTACTCCTCCAAGTAACCAAGTTTCCCCCAACAAAAGCACAATAGCCACTAGTAGATTTTTTGTCATCCACAGAACCAACCCAATCTGCATCAGTGTAAACCTCAACTCTCATATGCCCATGTTTTCCAAACAGGAGTCCAATCCCAGGGAATTTCTTCAAATATCTAAGAACTATGTGTGTTGCCTCCAAGTGTGTGGCCTTGGGAGCATGCATGAACTGACTAAGGACTCCCACTGCATACGCAATGTTAAGTCTTGTCATATATAAGTAGAGAAGTCTGCCCACCAATCTTTGATACTACTTCATATCTACTATGGGCTCATCACTACAATCCCTGAGCCTGTGGTTTACATCTATAGGAGAGTCAGCAAGTTTTGCTCCAAGCTTCCCTGTATCTTTCAGGAGATTAAGAACATATTTCCTTTGGGAGATGAAGATACCCTGATTAGAGCGGTCCACTTCAATTCCAAGGAAATAACGTAAAGGCCCCAAATCCTTCACTTCAAATTGGGTGGCCAAGAATCTCTTCAATCTTTGTATCTTTGAGTTCCAATCACCGGTGATAATAATGTCATCAACATACACAATTAAAGCTGCCATTCTTCCTTGCTCTCTCTTCACAAAGAGTGTGTGATCWGAYTGRCACTGCTTAAAACCCATCTGTTGAACTGTATTGTGGAACCTACTGAACCAGGCCCTTGGAGACTACTTTAAACCATACAAAGATTTCTACAGTCTACAAAGATTTCTTCAGTCTACTGAACCAGGCCCTGGAGGTTTGATCATATACACTTCTTCTTGTAAGTCACCATTCAAAAAATCATTTTTAATGTCCAACTGAAGAAGTTCCCAATCTAGATTTGCTGCTAAAGAAAGGAGGACTCGAATAGAATTCATTTTTGCTACAGGTGCAAAGGTTTATGCATAATCAACTCCATACACCCGTGAAAAACCTTTTCAACTAGCCGGGCCTTGTACCTCTCCACTGTGTCATTTGCCTTATGTTTCACAGAGAATACCCATTTGCACCCTACAAGTTTCTTTCCTTTAGGAAGATCTACCAACTCCCACGTGCCATTTTTGTAAAGGGCATTGATCTCCTCCTTCATTGCATCTGTTCATTTAGGAGTAAGTAAAGCTTCTACAACACTCTTAGGAAGGGAAACACTGTCAATAGCAGAGAGGAAAGCATGGAAAGAGGGTGAAACATGCTCATAGGATAAGGAAATGGCCATCGGGTGGTGTGTGGTGCATGATTTGACACCTTTCCTCTTAGCAATAGGAAGATCTAGATCACAATTAGAGGTATCAATATCAATGGGCTCAGGGATGTCAACTGGAACAATAGTACCTGGATGCGATGATTGATTTAACCCCTGAGAGTTCGACGGCATAGGTTGCACTGGAACAATAGTACCTGTGTTTATTGAACTTCGTTGATCATGGCCTTGACTTTTGTACCACTGTCTACAAAAGACCCGAAATGGAGGGGGTCAGGAGGAGAAGGCAACAAAACCTGTCTCTATTTCTCTTCACTTAGACTCTCCCCCTGAGGAGAAGCAAGAAAGAAAGGCACATCTTCAAAGAAAGAAACATCCATAGTTACAAAGTACTTTTTGAAAATAGGGTCAAAGCAACGATAACCTTTTTGTGAAAGGGGATAGCTAAGGAATACACAAACAATGGCCTTGGGATCTAACTTACCACGGGTAGGTGATAGATCATGGATAAAACACTTAAACCCAAAGACACACAAAGGGATAGGAAACAATGGATCTGTAGGGAAGATGAGTTGATGAGGGGGCTTGTACTCCAAGAGACGAGATGGCATCCGATTGATAAGATAATCCGCAATCATAACAACATCCACCCAGAACCTTTTTGGAACACTCATGTGTATCAACAACCCTCGAGCAACCTCTAAGAGATGACGATTCTTTCTCTCTGCAACCCCATTCTGTTGAGGGGTTTGAGCATAAGAACTACGATGAATAGAGCCACAAGTTTCAAAAAATTCGGTGAAGTCACCATGAAAGTACTCTTTGGCATTATCTGATTGGAAAGTTCAAAACTCCGTTTGAAATTGTATGTATACCATATGTTGGAAGGCTTTCACAAGTTTAGGAACTTCGTCTCGAAAGTGCATAGGGTACACCCACGTATATCGAGAGGTCATCAATGAAAGATATGAAGTATCTATAGCCATGCACGATTGGAATATTTACAGGTCCCCAAACATCAAAATACACAATGGAAAATGAAACATCTGATTTTTTATTACGTAAAGGAAATGAAGTTCTACAATGCTTGGTTAGCTAACACACTTGACACTGAAAATCATCAATAGACACAGACTTAAACAATTCTGGAAACAAATACTTTAAGGACTCAAAAGACAGATGACCCAAAAGATTGTGCCACAAAGTAACCAGACTTTTATTTGACTGACTCAAAGACTCTAAGGCCGCAAGACCAACTCTATTCTCCAGCACATAGAGGCCATTCACCATCTAAATCTTGAAAGACACAAGATTGAGGAAAAAAGGTTACTGAGCAGTTCAAAGAGTGTGTAATGCTGCTAATAGATAATAAATTAATAGGCAGTTTTGGAACATGTAAAACATCTGATAGGGGTAAGCCAAATGGAAAAGATATAGAAGCACCATGTGACTAGCAATGGAGGAGAAGGATCCATCAGGTAACCTCACTTTATCTTTGCCAGAAAGAATGGTGTATGATTGGAAAAAAGGTTGACTTACCCGTCATGTGACTAGAAGCACCAGAATCAATAACGCATGGGAATTTAGAGGTATTGGTAAACACATGGAATGCAAAAGCTAAGTTACCTGAGGAAGAGGCAAAAGAGGTTGAAGGAGTTGGTCCAGAATCAGTTTGTGTGAGGGCCCTACCACATTGCTTCAAATGGTCACGAATCTCTTTCTCTTTCTCTCTCTCTCTCTCTCTCTCTCTCTCTCTCTCTCTCTCTCTCTCTATTCAGCCGCTTCAGCAGTAGTAACAGTATGGGTTAAATTTCGGGCTCGGGCCCAGGCCTGGGTTTCGGGTTTTTTATGAGGGCCAGGTTCGGGCCCAAGTTGTAGGCCCGATGGTCAAGCCGGGCTCGGGCTCGAGCCTTAAAAAAATCTGTTAATACAAAGTGAAAGCCCGACCCATGAATATGTCTACTGTTTGGGAAGAGTGCAATGCCAGTTTAGTACATATAGTCACTCTAGATCAGTTTTCTTGATGTTTAGTAATAGTTCATGTGTATTGAAAATGACAATAAATACAGATATATAAGACATTTGTATTCAAAAGGAGAGTAAAGTTTGCATTTCAAATTTATCAATACAAAAAAAAGGTGGATTTTACTCTTCAAATTCATGTTTGTTTCTATCACAATTAAAAATCATTTGGCAATAATACAAAATTATCATTATAAAATCAAATTTGCATTTTTTATAAACTAGACTAGACATATTTGCATTTGTACGATACATTTTTTATTTGCACTCTTCCCAAATGGAGCCTTATGCATTATGAGTTTCATTCTCCCATTCAGATTTTTACCTCATATGATATAATTATTTGTTTCCTTCTCCACCATTATTGGATGCTTATCCAAGTGGTGTTAATGTCCTTTCCACTTTTTCCTCTTAGAAACAGCCTCTTTATATATTTGCAGGGGTAAGGCTGCATACATCTGTCTCTCCCCAAACCGGGGGAACCAGGGCTATTGTAATTTATGAAACATAGATACGATTTACAAAGGGGTAAGGGAAGGGAGTTCAGATCTGCTCCTCCCAGAGTGTGCCTCACCAACCTCACAGCACATTTTGGCCATGCATCTGAAACATCTCCGTGTTTATAATTTTTATTCATGGGGAGATGTTCCGGATGCACGACTGAAACGTTCTGTGAGGTCGGTGTGAGGCACGCTCTGTGAGGAGAAGATCTGAACTCGAGAGATGGCAGTCCTGCAAGTAGCCTCCAATGACAGTTGTTTCGGAAAGAAGCTTAAGCCTAAAGGCTGGAATAACATAGATCTATTAGTAATTTGGTTCTAATCTAATTTTTTTGGCCGAATTCAAGTTCTAATCTGACCCAATTTGATTTTATAGTTGGATTGAGTATGGATCCTCTCCAATTTAAGCCAATAAATATTATTATCATCATTGTTGTCATATCATCATCCATACCTAATCCCAATTATATGGTCAGCTACATGAATCCTATTTTGTCAATCCATTCTATTTAAAATCATATCCACTATTAAGAGGATGTACAAGGTCCTTGATAGAAGGAAAAATGAATAGAGCATGTAGTTAACATATTGTTATCATTTGACCTAGCCATTTTAACAGTAACCCACAAGCCGGTCATAATACTAGCGGCTCCAATTATAACCAAAAAAGGTAAATTTCTGAAATTCCCCTTTAGTTTAGTAGTTATAATCACCTCCCTTGAACTTTCTAATACAATTGCAAGTAGACCCCTATGATAGAATCTTCTAAAAAAGGGCATGAAAATGCCCAAAATACCTAAACATTTACTACTATGTCTAGTTTCTATGAAAAAAAAAACAATATAAACTTTATGAACAATAAAAACAAATAATTTAAAGTTGCAACCCTTTGAGTGATTGATTTTATGGGAAAATTTGAAAAATAAATCAGTTCATAAAAGAGATTGGAAGGGTTTGGGGTAGTGATTCATATGAAAAGAAAATTTGGAAAATAGACATTTTTGTCAAAGCAACTGCATGGGCATTTCAGACAATTTTGTGCCTCTTGTTAGAAGATTCTACCAAGGGGTTTACTTACAGCTATGCCAAAAAGTTTAGGGGAGGTGATTGTAATTACCAAACTTCAGGGGAGGTTTTAGCAACAACCAGAAACTTTAGGGGGAGTTTCAGCAATTTACCCAAAAAACACAATTAATTGGTCAAAGATCCAATGACTTAGGTCGTTGAACTATTGGCTGATCAGCATAACTTGACTACTTGGCTACTTGTTATTTGTTTTTGGCATTGTTAGTCATTTAAATGTTAACAAATTACTTGGGGAGGGAATGACCATTCCCTCAAATGGGAAAATGCCATTCCACCAAAAATGGGAATAGGATTCCAATTCCAAATCCATATTCCTACAAACCAAATAGACCCTAATCTTTTTATAAGTTTCTTCATTTTTTTTCTGCACAAAGTTTTCAATTTTTGAAACACTCCATAGACAATTTTAAAGTTATTTTTAGTTTATTTCATTTGTATCAATGCTATATAATTCTTAAACTTGGTCTATGTGTAGCAATGTTTCAAAACTTGACCCAGAAATGGAACAGCTTTGACCACCAGTTCTTGGGTCAGCTGTTCTACCATTCGGTCTGAAAGGACGAATCATTATGATTTTAAAAAAAATAAAATAAAAAACAAAAAAGTAATTAAAATTAAAAAATTTGCCAAAAATCATTGTTCGGATCGGACGGATAAACAATTCGACCACCTAAAGTCAAGTCACTGACCAAATTAATAGTTTTTGAAAAATAAATTGTTTCTGGGTAAAAAGAAACCGGTTACCTAGACAATTTCCACGCCTATCGTCCGG